ACTCTTCTGTAGTTCCTTAAGAAGACAAATATTTTTAACTCTGATTCAGTTATTTGAAGTCTTCTTAAACACGTTTATGACTCATTTCATACGTAGATTCACGGGTCCCAAACTATTAACTTCTTTCTGCATATTAATTTATTTGAATACCCTACTCTTGAATTCATTTATGTTGTTTAAGCATTATTTCTTGATTGATTTATTATTCTATTCATAAAATGCTTCCCATTAGTCTTTTTCCTGTCTAGAAGTCTATTGATTTTTATTTGCTAGGTGGGAAAGCAAAGCTTTAGCAGTTTTTGTCTTGACTCCATTTGTCTGCACTACTAATAAAATTGTATTGTATAAAATACGTAAGAGCTAGTTATAAGAGATAGAAAGCGATATTCGCATAGGCTTTTTATTCATACCTGATTTACTTTTCTATAAAACAACTATGAAACCTTTTGTGCATCAATCCCACCTTCTTTCGAAATTTTGGATCGATCGTTTTCTCTCGCTGGAAGCGTCATGCTGTCTCCATATCTCACTGTGTTGAGGATGTAGATAACAACGAAGCTATCTAAATGTAGCCGATTACTGAGTTACCAGACACCCTTGTACTTAAATTAGTTGCTGACATGTTTTATTTTGTAGAAGACTTATTTATTAATTATCCTTTCTTAACTATGCCGTACATTCGCATCAGCTTGTCATGAGTGGACTTAAGTATCTCGAATGAAGCGAATCGTATCATCGAAATACTTCTAGCAGTGGTATGAACTAAAATGCCTTTTGACTGAAAGTACGATAGGTTTAAGTAAGCTGCATCGGCCATAAGGAAATAATTATCCTCTTGACCCTTCCTCACAAGGTGAAGTATTAAACATATACTGCCAGGATTTACAGGGGTCTTATCAACCATGCCTTCTGTGCAACAGAGTATATTCTATGAAAGGATCTAACTAAATTGTCACTTTTTTGTCATAGCCTTGATGCAACTGACAGAAATGCGAGCTACTCCTTGATTATAAGCTGTGAGGATCGTCTCTAAATCGCTGCTTTGAAATAAACTAATACGCCTAGATTTGGTCTTATGAATGGATTATAATTAGGATAATAAATCATTTGGATGGCTCTGAGATAAGTTGCTAACAAAGATTTGGATTTACTTAGGATGCGAGGTTTACAGGTGAATGCCTTGGGTCGAGTTTTTATTAAGTAAGGAATGAGCTGAATCCAGGCTACAAAGATGGGAAACAAGGTCGCTTCACTTTTAGGCCTGGAAAGGAGATTGCATGGATAATTTTAGACTATCTAGCAGGGCAAGCCTCATCGATTTCTTATTTGATCATCGGCACAGCATTTGTACAATCTTGCTCTTTAAAGTAAAATTGACTCTTTATTTTTAATCTAAGAAATGGAGGGTTAGCAACGCAAGAACAAAATCAGCTTGAATCGCCAGTGATAAAAGAAATAGGTAATATGAGATGTATTCATCCAATTTCGTTTAAGGTGATGAAGGACTGGTAAAAGAATTTTCCCACAATGATACGAGTAGAGCTGACGTTTCCATTGCATTCCACATAGCTTTCCCAAAAGTTGTTCTCAGCCACGGTGGACTGCAGTTTCGACCTCGCATCGGTCTTATCAACAATGGAAACGCCAGCTCTACTCATATCATTGTGGGAAAATTCTTCTACCAGTCCTTCATCACCTTAAACGAAATTAGGTGAATACATCTCATATTACTGATTTACTTTTATTCTCGAAACAATACTTAAATGCAAAAAAATAAAGTAACGTAGTCGATTGGTATAGCAAATATACGTTTGCTTCATCGACAATCCCACCAAAGAATGTGATATGGCAAAAAGGCCTGGCCTTCCTTTAAATTCGCATTTGCCCTGTGACCCAAAGGCACTCTTGGCAATAAAGCCGAGTGGCTAACGTGTCAAGCTCCCATTCCGCACTGTCACAGTTCGACTCCCGCTGGGGGTGTTGATAAGACCGATGCGAAGTCGAAACTGCAGTCCACCCTGGATAAGAACAACTTTTGGGAAAGCAAATCTATGCGAAATTAAATTGAAACGTCAATTCTACTCATATCATTGTTGTAAAATTCTTCTACCAGTCCTTCATTACCTTAAGCGAAATTGGGGAATACATCTCATATTACTGATTTACTGGTATTCACGAGACAATACTTAAATGCAAAAAATAAAAGAAATATGCTCAAATTAGCTAGGTTTTCATTCAGTAAACACCTTAGTTTATTTGATTATCTCCATGCTAGCATAAATTGGAGAGACGTCTTTTCGAGTAATGTTGATCGGAATCAAGCCACTTGAATATATTATTTATTGAACTTATTCGGATTTCAATCAATTTTGGTACGTCCATAACCATGTGTTTGAATTATCTATCATTTCGATCTGATTTCGGTTCTATCTTACTTGCAATCATGCTCTAAATGGCTTATTTCCTGAGTTCATATTTCTTTGGGATATCCCGTCTATTTGTTTTGCATTTCCACATTTTTTGACGATATACTATGTTATTACTCTCTCTCTCAACGATAAATCTTGAAATTCTATTTGCTATCACAATTCTTGACCTCGTTATCTGCACGTCTGGACTTTATTCTACTTGCCAACTTTATGCTTTATGCCACCATTCTTATTTATATTTTTCTAATTTAGTTGTCTCCGAACGCTTCGCTTCCTACCGAATCTCACTTTTCGAGCTGTCATCCGGTTCTGCGTCATTTGACCCGCCTTATCTCTCAAGAAATTGACTCATCCTCTTCTTCGACCTCATCCCCACCTCCTTCGTCCTTCTCTTCTCTATCAGCGGAGCATGTGGCCTCTGCTGAGGTGGAGGCTGGTCCGATTGCGCTTAACCCGCCAAATGCCCCATTTACTCGCCTGCTTAACGAAGAAAGTGAAGCAGGCCTTTCAGCCTCTTCGGCTGCCCCTCTCTGTGCCGCAGCAGACTCGGGCATCCAGTCTGTGCTTCTTTTCCACGAAAAAGTAAATGATATTACTCGGCCTGAAGCTGGAACTAGTGGCAGCTCCTCCTCGACCTGCAAAAACGAGCCACTTGCTAAGGTCAAGGAAGCCGAAGATCATGTTGCTGATACGATTATTTCGAAAGCAGGCATGCAAATCTTGGTG